TGTTATTTTTTTTTTTTTTTTTTTTTTTTTTTTTTTTTTTATAATGACTTTCATTTTTTTTACATAATTTCTATTATATAACTAGTAATCATTTCGTTTATGCTTAATGATAAATCGATCTTCCTTTTCAGAATTCTTAAATTAAGAATTTTAGGTTATATGTAACTAACAATCTGTGAAATAACCTTCGATGAAAATGTAAAATATAATAAATATTTAGTACATTCATAGATTAATTAAATAATGCAAAGGGGTAGTCATTTAATTTTTTCTCATTCTCTCTGTGATTATTCTCTTATTTGTATTACAATCTTATTAAATGTTGCATACATTTTCTTTCCAAGAATTCAATCTATTGCTTCATTTATAGTTTAGAAACGCATTTTATAGCGAATTTGAGAAAAAATGATCACAAAATAAATTAAATTAAATTAATGTAAAATTGACAATAAAAGTTAAAAATATAAGTTCTACTAGTATTAGAATATTGTTAAAAAGTAGTTCCATTAAAACTTGGTGCTTTTAAAGGTGCAGATGCCTCCTACTAGTGTGCCACATCATGGTGTACCGCCACCAGAAATGCAGCCGCAGCTACAATATCACGCACAACAAGTACATTATCAAAATGGCCAAATGCAATCACAAATGCATTTCGCTGTTCAACCGCCACAACCGCATTTTGATCAAAACTCCGATATACCAGACCATCACAAGGGACAAGGAGTAAAGAGAAGATTTTCAGACGTTGAAGGAACACCGGTAAGTTTTTTTCTTTATTTTATAAAAAATCAATTGTAGCTGAATTGTTTATACTTGATTGCTTCTTGATCAATTTTGGCACAATTTTTTCATAATTATTCGATTTGCTTGTGTTAAATTCGTATTAAATTTCATTAAATTCCATAGCTATTAAAATAACAATTAAAAAGTACAATATAGTTATTGTAATTGTATTGTCATATTTGACGTACATATTAGAAGAAACCGTGAGTTCATCTGTTAAATATGTTTTATAGGAACCTCTAATACATCAACTAAATAGGCCGTTGACACAACGTCATGGTACTGGGTAAGTTACAAATTTAACAATTCTTAGCGATATGGTAAAATGTATAAAGTTAAAGATATTGATACTGTTTGCTTATATATATATATATATATATATATATATTTGTGTATTCATGTTAGTGATACTATTAAAAATAACCAGCATTGTCTTCAAACAAGTGTCCAGGAGCTCAAAACGTTATTGAAAAATCGATATTATTTCTCGTATTAATTATGTTATTTGTTTTAGAATACTTGTTTTTCGGGCTAATCTAATAGTTCTACTTCAACGAAGAAAAATAAAATACTTTTTCTTAATAAGTACAATTAAGCAATATAAAATAAACGTAAAACAATGATTGATCAACTGAAATATACAAAGATGAAGTTTTAATTTAAAAATATGTAGGGTATGCACAAAAAATGATAAAAAAAATTAATATGGTCGTACTAATAAAATTTATAATAGAGTGAATAACGAAGAAGTTTAATTATTTGTAAAACAATTACAATTGGCTTTATTAATATCTGAAGCGTGGCATGATAAAACTGTGCAATATAAAGAAACTTCATTAAGCATTGAAAAGATAATGTAGATTAGTGGTAATTAATGTGGAAAATTGCATTTCTCTATTACAGCAGCTTAAATATTAATAATCCTATACGACTTAGCACTTTTCCAAAGATAAAATAAAAAAAATGTTTACACATATATCAAGGTTTGCACAGTTTTCTTGATCACGATACTCTTCATGTATAAAGATGAATCGTACCTCATTATTCACTCTTTGAATTATCATGATTAAGTATGATTGTGCGGCTTTGCAGTTGTTTCCTTTTCTTTTTTTTCAACGTCAACGTTTATACCAGCATCTGCTATAATGTAAGTGAGTCGCTTGCTTCTGTTTATCAGTGTATTAAAAAATAAATTATATATCCTGTTTTTATACATAATCTAGTTGTTATAATTTCAAGAGTTTCATGTGCGTATAGTAAAGGCAATTACTAATTTCGTACAAATTGTTGTTTGTAAATTATGATTATAATTCTTCCTTTATTGTAAACAACCTTATTTACATTGATCAGAATATTTCTTTTCTATATCTTTAACATTATATTGTATAACGATAACGTATAGATATACAGCCACTAACATTATCATTAAAACCTTACAAAATTAAATGAAGGCCCGAAAATTCAATACTACCAGACTATATAAAGAAATGTTTTAAAAAGTTAATCAGAAGTACAAGATAAAAGATATCGTACTGTAAGATGATTTTCTAAACCAAAGACAAAATTAAACAACAACAACAACAACAACAACAACAACAACAACAAACAAAAAAAAAACCATTTATATTAATTTGATTTTAAGATTGAAGGAAAAAAAAACTTACAGTACGGTATTTGACGTTGGACCAACTTACCATTTCAGAAGTTTCCAGGACTTGCATACGGAAAGGTGAAAACAAATAGTAAAGCTTGAAAAATAAAAATACATATGGAACAAAATCTCACGTTAAGAGTACTACTAAAATTAAATGAAATCTAGAAAATAAGAAATCTATTTTTTATATTAATTTAGATGAATAAGTATATAGATAACAAAATTCGAATTATTAAAATTAAAAAGAAACAAGCTTTTTAATAATTCTTCAATGAAGTATTTAAAAAGAACTTGTTAAACGTAAACAAGTTAATTTAAAAAACTCCGTGCAGTATATTTTTTCTGAAGATTTTGAAACGAATATGATATGCTTCAAATATTATTAACGAGATTATTAAGAATATCGAGCGATTAATTTTTTTGAAATTTGTGACAATGCTAATGGCATGATCAACAAAAAAGTTTCATTTAATAAAAAATTAGTTTCTTAATAAATATAATAGAAAATCAATTTTACTGTTCTCTTGGGTAATAATACTTTAAGTGTAATTTAAATTTCATCTTTTTCAAAGAAAATTCATACTGTAGGAGTCTCGAATAAACGCTTAAAAAATATTTCATTGATGATACTTTGCAATTGGTAAATTAACCCTCGAATGGTCTTTGGTTTTTTATTTAAATGGTAACTTAGCAATTACGAGAAATTATGAAGAAATTGCTACAAATTAACGGCCTCGCGGGATTATTAGAGGGTTTATATATAAATTGTACATGATAACTTATTTTAAGACGTAAAAGTAAACCACAATATCCAGAACTTTTCCAAACTTGTTTTCACTAGAAAATAACAAAATAACAAAATAAAAAAGAAAAAAAGAAAAATAAAGAAAAACAAAACAAAAACAAAAAACTTAAAAAACAGACAATGAAACAAACGAACAAACAAAACAGTATTGTTATAAATTTGAATACAACCCTAATCCTGACCAGCGATCGGTCCTTTCGGCGCTCGTACAATAAAAATAAGAGCACTTTATAACAGATAAACATAGAAAGATTAAAATAAAGATGTTAAAGTCGCAACGCCATAAACGCGCGTTTGCGCGCGCGTCATGACTAATAAGAGCAACTCCATTGTTCAAGCAGAGAAGGTGAGCAACAGCAGCACATGATGCACGGACCACCAGGAGCTGGTTCGAGTCTTCCACTGGGCGATCGCGGCGGCGGCGGCGGCAAGCAGCTGCTAATGCCACCTCCGTATCCAGGTCTGTAGCTAATGCCACATATTTTAGGGAGACGGTGAAAGAGAGAAAGAGAGAGAGAGAGAGAGAGAGAGAGAGAGAAAAAGAGAGAGAGAGGTTGGTGGTTGACTTATCAGGATTCTGGCATATAGATACGCGTACATGCGTGCATATATGCGCATATTTGAAAGAGAGAGAGAGAGAGAGAGAGAGAGAGAGAGAGAGTGAGTGAGTATGCGCGCATTCGTGTACTTAGATACGTATGCGCGTATGCGCGGATGAGTATGTGCATGCATGTACGTACGAACGTGCATATATATATTAATAATCGAACACAAGCAGTGTATGACCCCAAACCTTCAATATCCATCCACTTGAGTATCGGTGTGCGTGCGTGCGGCAGCGGTCTCAGTAATACCATCACTTGATTATTATACCTATTGATTATTATCTTTTCTTATTCATCGTTCATTCTTGACGTACATACGCTTTATTACATTCTATTGACGTCGGCTAACGACCCTCTCACTTCTTCAAAATTAGAAATCCTATTTTACTCGTTTGGCTATAGATCGTGAAAGTTAAGCGTTTTCGAGATTTTTTCATTTTGTCGACATTTTCATCATTCATTTAACTTTTTATATATTCAATGTTTCCCCATTATTATTATTTTAATTATATACGTGTATCCATCCGTACATATGTCTACATATTGTGTGTAGACACATGCGGGCGGACGGGTGCGCGAACTCGCACGCACACAAAATCAATGCGTATTTACGTACGCGCTCATATACATATGCATACCTGCGTGTGTGCACTTTATTATTTCATAATAATATAAGTTAGGCATGATGGAGAAGAGCAGGCGTGATAACGAGTTATTTGCAACTGTTGAGTTACGATTGCTAAAAGTGTCCTTTCAACTTTGTGTCATGAGCTTCCACTATACTTACCTCAAACTTTCATTTATTAATAATATATTTTACCCCATTTCATTTGTTTTTAACTCATAAATTATTTGTAATTTATTTTTTATAAATTTTGAAATGCCAATGAGATCACACGATGGATGATTTGATCGAAACTCTACAACTCTAATGTTAATTATATTCACTCATTATGTCTTAATATATTCATACAGTCGGATCAGGCCGAGTAAACTTAACGTATTATTATTATTATTATTTATGCATATGGATGTAATTATTAAGAAATTTTACAGTTACAAGTTATTCTAATCAATATTTAACATTTTAGTTAAATCATCCAACAAATAATGATTTTAATCATTTTAATATAACTTGCGATATTTTGTAGTACAATATTTTATTTACATAAAACTTGATTTACCGAGTTGAAAAATATTTCACCTTTTTTTTTTTTTATCTCCTTTAAAAATAAGCTAAATGATGATGTGTACTAGGAGGCAACGTTAACTTGGATCTACCCGCAAAAGTTTTGCATATGTATGCCAATATAAATAATATGAATTAAGTATTGTTTTTGTACCTCTGAATTTTTTTTTTTTTTTTTTTTTTTTTTTCTATAGTTGCAACACATAAGGATAATTAACAGCATCATTGCAGCAGCACAAAATTAGTCATGTAAAGAACACAGCACAGGAGCGAAGTTTTTGTTTTGTTTTTTTGTTTTTTTTTTTTTTAAATGAAAAAATTTACTCATTGTTTTGTATTATTGTAGATTAAATTTTACTAAGCACCTTCGAAAGAGAATGAACTTTCTTTATAGTTACTTGCTTGAGCTCTGCATTATTAGTCGCATTAAAATGCTTCATGCTACAGCTCGCAAAAGGAACTTTTATGAATGAAAAAGCAAAAGCAAAACTTCCATAAAATTTTGGATTATAATTCTGCCGTTCTTATTTTACAGTTGGCTTCTTATCGCCATAGACGGGACGATCGTTCAACTTTCGGACTCGCTTTGGCGTTGATTAATAACAACAACTACAACAACTATAACCATAACAAAAACGACAATAATAATAATAATAATAATAATAATAATAATAATAATAATAATAATAACAATAATAATAATAATAACAACAACAACAACAATAATAACAATAACAATAACAGCAATAATTATAACAATAACAACAACAACAACAACATCAACAATTAAATACATACATATATATATATATATATATATATATATATATATATATATATTTATTTTTTTTCACCTTTTTTTTACTTTTAACATAGTACCTAGAGCATAGATAATTTTTAGAGATTATTTTGATTCCAGATATAATGATATCAACAATACAGCAATGTTTCGCTTTCAATCCCACCTCACGTCATCCTTCTTTCATTCAAAGTCTTTTCGCCAATGGCGAAAGTCATTGTTTATCCTTTCTTTATTTACGGCTGAATAAGTTTTACAGATACTATGCAGTTTATTTTTGTTTTTTGCTGGATTAAAATCGTAGATCCCGCTAATTTTATCTTAGGAACGACAGCAGCAGCGCGCCAGACGGGCGAAGAGAGTATCCGGAATGTTTCATGCACGATACATTTTATTATTAGCTTATTAGCATATATTTTGATCCACGATGTGTTTTTACATATATTTATTTCATGAAATTCTATTATTGAAAAATAAATAAATATATATATATATATATATATATTTTTTTTTTTTAATATACGTATCTCTTACACACAGATGAAAGACGCAATATGGATCAACCATTTACCGGTCATAATCCAGGTACGTTCTTCTCACTTAACGAATTGAACTTTGAAAGAAATTTGAAGTGCCAATATCTATTTAAACATTGATTAAAATCTTTAAAATTGCAACATTATTGCAACATTTTTAATTAAATATTTGTCATAGAAATGATCAATAATGCAAATAATTAAAAATAATTGAATTAATTAATAATGCCAAAGCAGTGTTCTTAAAACACTTGGTAAGGTAGGTTGATACGACAGGTTGATAACGATTTCTTAAATATTATCTCGAAAAACACCATCAAAATGAGAGGCACATTCTCACGTACATTATCCCATAACAATTAGTCAATTTATTGAATAATAATGCTTGCGTGAGTATCTAAATTGCATAAATGTCTGATTTGTAGGATGCGAGCAGCCGATGAACGGCGAGCACGGACGGAATGTCGGCCCACCCCCGGGCTCCCATCCTTTAGGACTACCCCCCCAGACACCTTGGCAGGCTCACTTCGCCCGCTTCCCCCCAAATAGACCGCCGCCAATGCCTCGCGACAACGAGCAGCATCACATGTCTTATCACGGGGCGCCGCCGCCTCCAATCAATCTACCTCCGCCACAGTTGAGACTTGTTCAGGGTAAATATTCCAAAATAAAAAAGAAAAAAGAAGGCAAGGTATAATACATCATACATTTTTTTTTAATAACATTTGGAGGTGGCTCGATTATCGATCAATTTAGTTAAATGAGACGCGCCAAGAGCTTTGCGAGTGCTTAAGGCGATTTTTTATTTTGTTTTGTGTTTGTTTGTTTGTTTGTTTTTTTTGTTTTTTTTTAATTATTCGACCGAGCGACGTGTAATCGAATCGCTGAATATTGATAAGAGCAGAAAATGTGACAATACGAGGTAAAATTATGGACAGTGAAAACTTTTAGAGGTAGCTAGCTATACGCCATTTTCTATGCTTTATGCTTTATTTGTTTGTGTTCATTTTTAATACTTTATGGAGCCACTCTATTATTAACGAACAAATGCCTTTGATATTACTGTAAATAAAACGGTTATATTTGAGTTATTATAACTTGATTAATATTTATTATTGGCCCATTCAAGTTGAATTACATTTTAACGCTTATTTCTTTAACATTTAATTCAATCTCATCATAATTATATAAATATTTCAATTTATCTTAAATCTCATCTGTTATGTTTATATTTGTCTGTTATATCGCATATTACACGTTTAATACTATATCAATAAAAATAATAAGTATGCGCCATGGCTAATAAAAAAAAATTTACTTTCTCTCTCTCTCTCTATTTCTTGAAATGGTATAATTTTATGAAAATATTAATTTATATTTCTCGAAATATTTGGACTTAAAAGTGTGTGTGTGTGTTTTCCATACATAAATAGTTTTCGTAATTGTTCTTCTATCAACACCCGTATTTATTTATTAATAATATTTGCATGTTCATATACTCTAAAATGACTAATAATTACTCACATACTCTTACATTATTGAAGCGTCATAATAATTTTTTTTTTTTTTTTTTTTTTTTTTTTTAATTAATACGTTCTTTAAACGTATTATGAAATACGTATTTACAGGAAGAATAATATAATTTCCTATCTTTTAAGTCTTAGAATTATAAAAGAATTCAAATATAAAAACATAAAGACGACCATGCATTTTGAAAATAGTATGTTAATTCCAATCGCTTAACCTTATTGCTTAATTTGTTTTTAAAATGCTGTTCAAGTAAATAACATTAAAGAACAAGAAGAATAACCATATCGTAAGATGATGAAACAAGCAAATGTAATAAAGTATGAAATAAAATAATCGAACTGCCTCCACCTCTGAGACACGAGGCCGTTGCGACAAGAATGACGAGGAGTTTGGTCTTTGCATTACAGGGTCCGATGGGAGTCGATCACCTAGTCAAGGTGCGTTACCAGAGCATCCGGTGAGCGCCGGCCACGAGTTCAATCACTTTCCACCTTACACGGGCATGAAGCCACCCGTGCCACCCCCTACAGCGTTACCGCTTGTTCAATCGATTTGCAATCCCCCGCCGCCACCCCCGTCGCCGCCCACTTACACTCAATCGCGGCAACAGCAACAACAACAGCAACAGCAGCAACAGCAGCAGCAGCAACATCACCATCATCACCACCACCACCACCATCATCCTCGAGGTCCACCTATACAGCGCTACCATCATCATCAACAACATCAGGTGCCGGTTTCGCAGAGTCTGCAGTCGCCGGTCACTTCTGCGCCTCCTTGGATGAACTAACTTAATTAGCATTACGACAGAGGTCAAACGAACTAAGACAAAGAGCCAGACATGGGCGCACGCTTTTTTCACAAATCATCGCAAATGTTTCACAAAAATTAATCGATCCTTTGGCTCATTCACACGAAGTTTATTGCCAATAAAAATTAGGGTCGGTCATCAATACTGTGACGCGATAAATAAATAAATACTAATGTATTACAAAAATAATACTTTAGATGTGATTTTAACTTACGGAGTTTAGTAAGAGTACGGAGAACTTTAAAAAAAAAAAATAAAATAAAATAAATAAATAAATAAATAAATAAATAAATAATATAACTACCTAATTGAATTAACAATAATGGGAGCTTATTATAATTCCGTACCGTTTAAATGAATAATCATATTCCTACTTTAACCGAGAGAATTGTTACTTGATGCGATTGTAGTGCCACACGGATTAACGTGTAATAATAACTGCAAGTGAAATGCACTTTTCATTCGTTTGGATTTCACGCCATTGTTAAAAAATAATTTGAAATTTCTATTAGTTCTTCGTGTGTCATCTCCATTATTATTAGCAATACATCTTACAATTTTTCTCTGAATATTGACAATATTCACTTTCGCAAATTGTTACATCGCATTTGAGAGCTCTAAGAGTAATGAATAATGCGATCTATTCGTATTCATTCTTTATCGCAATTGTTGAATCATCTGTAAATCCAAATGCTTAATCATCATTTTGAAGAGTCAATGATATCGATTTATATTTTAAAAGCTTTGATTTTTCTAATTGTGAAGACATTTATTATGTCTTCTCAACTTTCAAAACTTGAAGAGTTTTAATTTTTACTGCTGAATCAACGCTACATCATTCATTATTACAAACGCGATTACCTATTTTTCTCGCATTTTCACCATAAACTATAAAGAACGAATGTCTCTAAATACCGTGCGAAAACATTTTAACGCTCCATTTACATAATAAAACATTATTAGCTACTGCTGCTATTACCTTGATGTTAAATGACATCTTTATTACCGCCAAGGACAATTAAATTCATTGACTAAAATTAGCTTTTAGTTCTATTATAAATTAATAAAAATTAAATAAGTTTTCAATAAAGCAAGTACTTATAAATTGCTTATGTCAATTAATGCTTTCAAGATAATTTTTTTTTTTATTTTTCTGTTGATTAGGAAATTAATAATAATAACGAATGTATAGAAAATTTTAATTCACAATTTAAAGGCGAGACTTTCTTCGATAGATTATGTAAAATCAAAAATCATTTTAAATATTTATCTGTACATATAACAATAACATTAAGAATCCAATTGTATATTAAGAATAGAAATCGTTAAAAATCAATACCTTCCAAATCCAAAAATATTGCAATAATCTCGAAAGCATATTTCAACATAAGCTATGTGCAATATTCTGCATGTCTAATAGATATCCTAATAAATAAAACGTTAATGTATCTTTAGATCGATAAAAGTATCACAATTGAAAGAATAAACTAGAAGTAAAACAGAACATTAGTGTTTAAAGATATATAAATATTAAGAGATCGTTATACATTTGTTAAATACTTTGTCGTGGACTTGGTAGATATTGATATTCAGTGCCTAATATATAAGCAATTCTTCAAATCCATAGATATTTCCGTTTATTTCAAATTATAGATTCAATTTACTTTATTTATCTAACATCAAAGGGGAATATTCTAGTTAGAATTATTATACAACAACTCGCTAACCGCCAAGTAAAATATTTAATAATTATAATAATGCTCTTTTAATTTATTAAATATAGTTAAACGTATTTTTATTTTGTCTTTAATATTGATTAATAATAATAACAATAACAACAACAATAATAATAATAATAATAATAATAATAATAATAATTATAATAATTATAATAATATCGTTACAACACATTGAGAGACACGTGAAGGAATAAAAGACGATGAAAATTCTGTATCTGTAAGGTACAAGTAACTCACGTCACGAGTTTTCATATAAAACTCCATGTTCTATTTAACCGTGGGACTATTTTGCAAGGGGGCTCTCGCCTAATTTGAAGAAAATTAAAAAAAAAAAAAAAAAAAAAAAAAAAAAGAAAAAGAAAAAGCTCTTTAACAAAATTATATGCTTAATTATTTACTAGCATTTCTTATGATATGATATGATATACACAACATTATGTAATAGATGGCAGTGTTATGGTTGTGAAATATCAAATCATAAATGGCATTAATTTCCTTCATTAATTTCTTATGTAAAATATTTAACTAATATGAATTTTTTTTTTATTAAATCTATAAAGAATACTTTAACAATATTCATTCTTTTCGTGACATCCTGATAAGTTTTTTTAGTTGTCTGTTAGTTTTCTCATGTATCCTTATACGATAATGGACTAACGACTATGACTCACTTTATTAATCTATCATTATGATTATGTGTATGCATTTCTTAGCTACATATACGACATTCAGCGAAACAATCTTTAATCGCCCTTAACTGGTTTTTCTTTTATTTTTTTTTTTCTTCTTCTCTTTTTATTTGAGTTTTCTTTTCTTTTTTTTTTTAAACGTAACCAAGAGACTTTTACTGTGGATGCAAATTCATATTCCGATGGGTTTGAAAACGATTTATATTGGATGAATTTTGTCACGATTCTTCGTTATATTTATACCTTTAATATCGGAAAATAAATAGATTATTAACGAATGCGATCCGATGAGAATAAAATAACGAAATGAAAGTTGATCGATTAAATGTGATTGACATCATAATATTATTAGAATTATCTTTACAAATGGTAAATTTGAAACATAATATTGTTAAATGAAAATGAATATAAATATAAGCAATATAAGGTGTAGTTATAATACTTATTACTCAGATACATTGGGATAAATTAACGATTAAGTTTCACAGAAAAGCCATAAGGAAAATTTCTCATCTGTACTTGTTGTTTTGATTTTGCCGATAGCTAATGCACTTTTGTTAATGAGTATCCTCCTGTCGATAGTATTATTTCAATAAACAGAAGTAGAAAAAAATTAATTGGTACAGATTTATGCTAAGGCGAATAATTTATATTAAACGTATATTGGGAGGGTAGTATAATAAGTACAATTCGCATTAAAATTTTACACTAAAGTATCGAGTAAAACTTATGTAAAATTTTCGTGACGACATAAAAATAATGGCACAAAGACATCTTAAATATAGATGTTGATAATAGCATTGTAAATCTTTGTATTTCTATTTACTTTTTATAAATTGTCTTCACAACATTGTGGATTTAAAGTTTTGTTTTCGAAGTGCTGATATTAAAAAAAATTACTTTGAAATAAATTGTAGACATTCAAAATTTATATCGGAATAGGAAGGAACATATCAATTGATAATATTTAATTTGAAGATATTGAAATTAATATTAAATCTATTTTAACTAGCGTATATATATATATATATATATATATATATATATATATATATATATATATATATATATATTAAAATAATATTTTCGTTTATATGATTAATAACATGTGAAAACGTATTTAAAGAAAATAATATTATTATAATGTATTTCTTGCATAAGCATCTTTGTATCGTCAAAGTCTAAAAACAGAAAAATGAAGTTTATAAAGAGCAAGATACTACTAATGCAAATGGTACAATTCCAAAATAAAGAAAATATTATTTTTGAAGAAATGCTCATATAAGTGAAAAGTCTTATCATTGTACAGATCAAGTAAGTTAAGATACAGATTTCAAGCAGTTTATTTATAAAACTTTAAATATTGCTTTTAACAAATTACAAATTTAAATATAATACCGCTTAATTATTTTATTTTATAAAAGAGAAAAGTCTCGCTTTTAAACTAATCGAAATTTTATAATTTTGATTTGCTAATTATTTAAAAATACTAATTTAATGAGCCAAGCATTCAAAAAGTTTAGTACATATTATAAAGTATAAATGAAAGATATGAAATTAAGAAAAAACAAAGCGCGGGCGTCCATGTCTCGCGGTTAATTTTGAATGTACGAAGAGAAAGTTGAGAAATTATGGTTGTTAAATTATGAGGATTAAAAACGTGTATTAATGAAGGTTTGAATAATTCATTTCAGTAGTCACGTTTATTTGTTTTGCTCGATATTATTGTCACTGTGAACTAGCTAGTTTCAAAGTAAATTGTTTGAACAATATTTTTTCATAGACTATTTATACATTTGCACATTAGATTTACGAAAATCCTAGTTTTAAGTAAGATTTACTTTATTTGGATCTTGTATTGAATTTTTGTTTGCTATATTAAAGAGTTACTTTTGTAAAATGAAGAAATTTGTTTGGTATGGTGTGATAAACAATTGACTCTAGACAATGATGGTATGATAAACTTTTGGAAGTAGTTAAGAAACTGCTAACTATAAGACGAATCTTTAAGCCAAAATCAGAGACGAAAGTCGTCGTTTTTTCCATTTATTAAAAATATTTCTTTTTTCTTGAATGGATATACGCAAATGGATAAACGCGTGGAGATTACAGCGTGTGTGCGTGTGTGCGCGTGTGCGCGTGTGTGTGTGTGTGAAGTAACTGTAATATTTGTAGATGGATTTTGTATTTAAGAAGCAGCTTATTAATTATTATACTTTTTGTACATAAATAAAATCGACGGGTTAACCGTTGCAATAAGTGATAAGCAGATTAATTCTGTTGCCATTGAGCGAAGAAAATGAGAAAAAATTTAACGATTAAGAAAGGTCGAGTTTGTAGATAATTTGATTGAAAGTTTCAAGTTGAGAGTCAGTTTGTACAGATACACTTTAGTTTTAAGTTGGTTACTTATCAAAAATAACGAAGAAACACGAAAAAACTTGAAAATCTTCAACAATAACGTACCTATTCAACTCTATAAATTCTTGGAATTAACCAGGAAAGATACTGCTGTAAGGTGTTTTGAGTGCGACATTTTATTTATTGATCAACACATTGTTATCGAATTGTATTTTATATTTCGATAGTGAAAGAATAAAATTAAGTATGTCCAATCATAGTCTCTTATTATTAATTATAAATATCATACATCTACCTTTTTTTTTTTTTTTTTTTAAGAAAACCACCATCTGTGTAATTAAGCAATCGATTATTATAATTTCTTCGACATATTTCTTTAAATTTATCATTAATCACTATGTTTAGTTTATCTGTAGATACTTAATGATTTTAATAAAATAATAATTCATACACACACACACGCACGCACACACACATATATATATATATATGTGCATATAATTATATATTTTTATAAATTTACAACTTCTAGGATTTAATGATTATAGGATAACGTGAAACAAGTATTTCTGAATAAATCTTCAATTTTAATCGATAACTTAGAAATTTCTTAATATTACATTGAATTCCTATACATTATCAATCGATATAGCTGTAGGCGCAAATATAAAAAAAAAAAAAAAAAAAATTACGTTAGAAAAATTAAATATTTGGAGATTAAAATGAATGATCAATTATATATGTATTAGGATGTGCTGGTTATTTAATTCAAAAGGAAAATAAGTAGCGAACCAATTTTTTTAAATAATAAGTATCAAATGAATAATTTTATTGGAATTCTTCAATTCTACAATATCTTATATTGTTGAAATGTAAGGCTGCTTCTTGTAAATTAGAATACACATTTTGACGATTACTTAATATACCATTTTGAATAATAGAAAAATATTATGATTATTTGAAATTTTTATTTAATTTTTATAAAATTATTTAATAATTTATTAATTATTTATATACTTATAATAATGGCAGATAAAACTTATACAATATAATATAATAATTGAATAGATTTTTTATTAAAATTTTTTTTTTTTTTTTTTTTTTTTTTTTTTTTAAATAAAAAATTCATTTAATGCAAGGGTATTCGATTGAATATAACAAGAGATTAAATTAGTCCGATTTTTAGCATTTTAGTAAAATCCATTAATGATAAAAATCAATTTTCCATCAATAAACCAAATAATAATAAGGACTTTTTAAATAACGAGCATGTGGATTTAATCGTCTGAACTGTCGATTTGATAAGCAATGGAATAATTTCATTGTAACTTGAAATAAGCTGCAGAAGAAAAAAAACATTCAAGCGCACGTGTTCATAAATATTTTATGTTTTATGTGCTTTTATAAGGGCTTGTAACCAAAGAATTATCGATATTTTAGAAATTTGAATTTTATGACGATCGTTACAAAATCAGCAACTCAGATATTATGTCGGACGGTGCAGGACCTTCCACCTCTCGTGTAGCCATGTCGATTGCTTTCAAACGAGCACGACGCAAGTTTCCCAAGAACTTCGGACTTTCTTTTAATACTGACGAAACTCATCAAACTGCCCAAGTATATTACAATTATGGCAATCCAATCTATTTAGTTATAATCCTTACCTTAATAACCATTGTGGTTAATTGCGCTTGCGCGTTTAATGTTAATGGCACGATGAGACGCTGAGGGTTCGAAAATTTTCTTGGTTTGACAATTTTTTCGACCATTGTAACGAGCACGAACACTTCTCAATATTATAGAAACATAATATCGAGGTCAATAGGTCAATTCGTGAAATTTATAATAATTCGTAGATCTACATTGGCATCAATAAATTGAAATTAAATTTGGAATTTGAAGTTTAGTTCAATTGATCGAGTGATCGTTTACAATAAATAGTATTTTTAGTTATGTGTAAATTGTCTTTCGTCGACGAGATGCACGATAAGGAAATGCTTGCAAATATGTTTAATCGTATGGTTTCTAATATTCCTACGTGCAGATGATAAAGGGGGAACGAACGTTTTACGAATTTTGACAAATCTCGTTCGCTCGGGTACATTTCTTCGCTACGAAAGTATATTCGAGCCGCACCTACACACAGTTGCTTCTCAGTCAATTTTCTCACGTCTCTTATCCTATATAAATGTATAAAACAAATTTTTATCGTTACTGTGGTGATTAACGTGACGTAACTGCCTGATCGTATACCTAAGTTGTTCTGGCGTGATTTTTGGAAGATCGGAACAATCCATTGTAAATAAACTCTCTGGTTGGTTCATAGGCGTTTCCTATCGCCGCGTCTCTCTCGCTTGCTCATTTACTTTTCTCTTCTCAGTCCTTTTGATTCTCCCCACCCCTCGCGATTTACCAAACTCGCAATTTTTTTTTTGTTCGTTGCACATGTCGGTAAACAGAATAGCAATGATAAACATATTTATAAATTTCGTAGAATGAAGATCTTCCATTAGATCTAAGTGATAGCCCAGAACTGCCAATAAATTACAATGACCGTGAAAAAGTAGTGTCGGATCAAATAGAGGAATCACTAGTCAATTCCTTGCAAGAGATTGAAGTAACCGATAAACGGGGAGCCACGTGTGATCAATATGATCGCCAATCTAAAGATTTCGAAAATGTTGATGGAGGCGACGGTGCACTGGTAGATGCCAGACAATCTGATAAGGAATGCGATCGACAGTCATCAATCGACAATATCGTTGTTAACAATAAGTAATTGTAAAAAAAAAAAAAAAGAAGAAAAAAAAAAGAAAAAAAAAAGAAAAAAAGAAAAGAAAGCCTTCTATCGATTTAAATATTATTTTTGCCGTTAGTCTGGTAAATATTTAAGAAATGCACACTTTTATAATAAAATTGGTCTAAATTTTACAAAATTAATGTGGAAAAGAATTGACGCTACAGCATATTTATTATATTGAAAATCTTTTCTGAAAGCAATTCTAATTGTTATACGTTTTTTCATTCTTTTATTCATTCATTCATTCTTTCTTTTCTTTCTTTCTTTTATGTAAATGTATGCTTATACCAATCGTAACAGCAGAAATATATTCCTCGCAAATAGTCATACATATTATTATAATTGGTTTTTTTACTTTTTTTTTTTTTTTTTTTTTTTTTTTTTTTTTTTTTGTATCGCCATCAGTCCTCAACAATTGTCGCTGAAATCTAGGGAAAACGCTAACTCGCCACACGAAATATATAACGAGTTTTCTATAAATGAAAGCAAAGAATTTGATCTGTACGGTAAGATGAGCAACATGAAATATCAGGAAACAATGTTTACAGATAATAATTGGAATCAAAGAGTAAAAGTGAATGTCACCGACTCAGAGCTCGATATTAACGAGGTATACAAAGTCCCGCAAATGTTTCGCGAGAGACGCGATACTCAGTATAGAAGAAAAAGGCACAGATGTAAAAAAAATTCACAGTCATATATTCGACGCTCGTGCTCACATTACACATTATCCGATAATGTTTGCGAAGAAAATAACTTGACGCATTCGCCCGATTGCTTCTATTATAATCATTGCACCCACTGTCTTCATTGTCATCGGCATTGCTGCTGCCATCATCACTGTTGCTGCTCTCGTTGCTGCTTTAATTGGTACGTCGAATGGTTTTTCTTTTTTTTTCTTTTTTTTTTTTTCTTTTCCATGAGTTTATCGTACAAGGGCGAAGGCACAGTAGCTTAAAGCAAAAAGAAAAATCAATGACACGACCCGTATTCAAAATTTTATAATGTGCACAAAAGCGATTATGCCATCATACCATCACGTTCGTGTAAGTTCTAACTAATCGTCAACTCATAAAATTATCGACAAATCAATAAGTCGTGCGCGGACTGGATATTTTTCACTAATATTTTTCAGAATAATTCATCGCTCGTCAATAATTCAGCCCGAATATATAAATTTAGATTGTTGATAGTATCGAGATAGTATAATAGCTCGATTAACGCGCCAACTTGTAATCTTCGAATATAACAGTTTCTTCAATCAAAAAAATATATTTATTTTTAGAATATTATCAATGTTATTGCGAGCACTGACACAACATTTACCGATTTTCTATATTTTCTCTTCCCATAATTTTACCTGCTAATAAAATTGGATATTTCGCTAATGGAATGCAATACGAATTCTTCCAGTAGGAATTTAATTACACGATATTGCGCAATCGGACTACAATCTATTCTAAAGTCAATGATCAATCATTATAACGAGCTATTGTACTTTTTCGAAAATTCGAATTTGTACTTCATCGTTCTCATTCTCTTTGTCGCGCGCGCTTGAAATAGTCGGTCGCTCGTCCTAGACGAGCTTCGTTAAATTAACAGCATTGAATCGACAATTAAACGTCAAGGCGACTCGTCGATTACAAAAAGTACTTACTTGTACATTACGCGGCACAATATAAACTCGTACGTTAATAATAGGCGAGAGGAGCAAATGAGGTCGGAGCCCGCCCAGGAGTCGCCCAACTGCCATCGTCGAAGATTTACCGCCCATCAACGACCCAAAGGGCCCAAGTGCACCGCGTGCAAGAGACGCTCGAGCGGCTCGAGGACGTCTTCGAGGCAAGCGGATAGTTGCTCGCGCGACTCCGGCGTCTACACGAGCATACGCTACGAGAATGCGGATCACGAGGATGAGGAAGATGGTAGCGGCGAGCCGGCGACCGTTCTTCTCCACAGGAATCCGTTTACGATTTTGCAGAAGTACGCGACGGCGCACAGGTCGGATGTTCGTTTAGTCGCTTCGGAGGATGAGGACGTCGACGCATACTACTACTATGAGAATAGGCACAATCACGGCTTGATTAGTAACTTTTAAGAGCCCTCGGCTAAGTTTACCGGTATTTGCTCGGACGGGAGCCTCCCGTTACGCTCGCACGCATTCTGCTTTCATAATCGTTTGTGCGAACACTATTGGTTTCATTGCTTTGCAGGAACATCATGTAATTGTGCGCTTGTGTTATTCATTGCGGGAGAGACATCCGAGCTTAATCGTCATTTCGGCGAACAAATACCATATTCGAGCGCAGCTGAGTGTACGCAACGGCGAATTGCAAATTGCTTGTTTTACGCTCAAGGGATGGACATACATTAGACATTGTCCAATGCAATGGAATATATACGAGAAAATCCAATTCGAGACCAATAAGCATGTATATATATATATATATATATATATATAGTCGATTGATTAAATCAAGTATCTCTTAATTATTACGAAATTGTCCGGATCTCTACTCATTTGCACCAGAAAATTGTGTAATGGACATTTTACCAGCTGCTTTGGCATAAAATTGTATAAAAAATTTGAATAAAAAACCTCTCCTGTCAAAATTCTACCATATAATCATCTATGAAATAAAATTTAATGATTTATTCGTTTGTAGTTAAACGTTCGTATATTTTATCACAAAATGATTGCTCAATGTTTAAAATTTGATGTTTATTATCAATATTCTCACTGCATGATAAATTATATTATATTTATATTATATTCTCACTACATCATTAGCAATTCAATTAATAATAATAATAATAATTGCGATGCATTAATATGAACTACTAACTCAAATTGTCATTAATAAACGATTATAAAAAAAAATTATTATCACTACCAGATTTTCACATTATACGGACATGCAAATCTAAAAAAATAACAAATTTCATTCTTTTTTGCAAAGAGTATAGTATGTATTTCTCTAATGCATTGAATTATACTTTATTAATACATGAAATTCATATGTCACAGATAAATTGCTAAAATTAAGGTGAAATATCAATTAACTTCACTTAAGACAAATATAAAAGATATAGATTTTTCCTAAAATTGATCTATTAAATTGTTAATGATAATGTTAATGATAAAAATTTCATAATTAGCTTGTAATGCACACTTAATAAATAGATAATAAACACATTTTTCTCATTGAATATTATAAAAAATTTTAATAATGCTCTATCATTTGTTAAATATTAGTTTAACCGTAATTTAAAAGAATACGTTACTCATATAATCTACAATATTCTTGTTGATGAAAAAATTTCCATTCTACCAAATTAATTCAGAAACTTGATCTTTATGAATATTTGTTAGAAGGAAAGTTCAAAAGATTATTATAGAAATTAAATTACTAATATCTGCAATTACCGATGACGAATGATTAATGCCGCAATAAAGCGTATTAAAGCATTGGCAATAATTTTTGTTTCATTTAATATTGTAACAGCAAATTAGATAATGTTTGCCGCCTATGCACGTGTATCCAAGTGAACGAATAAGAGACGGACAAAAAGAAAAAAATAATTGAAAATTTTCAAAGTAAAGAGAAAAAAAATTAATGAATAAATCAATGATTGTTATAGTATTGATGTACTTGAAAACTATAATATTCAATATACGAATAACTATATAATATAAAAAATTTACTGAATTGTATAGCGTAATTGCAATAAATTATAAGTATTTATTTGTAATAGTGATACACAAAGTTTTATAAATCTATTATATTGTATTATTTAAAACAAAAAAAAACAAAAACAAAAACAAAAAAAAAAACCAACAAATCAACAAACAAACAAACAAACAAACATAAACTCTTTTTATCGTATTTTTCTTATTTGTAATTATTATAATAATTTATAATTATACATTGTTAAAAACATAACATCATATGCTATTATAAGAAATCCCATAAGTTCTGCTCTTGTATTTTATTTATATTATTTTTCAAATAATAACCTCTCATTTATTTGTATTAATTCTCATTTCTAATTATTATATTATGTCCACGAAAACTTGATAGTTCTATTTATTTTTAACATGAAATATTTAATTTAAATGAATTTCAGAGGGAATAAATTGAAAATAACAATAAATTAATTTTTTGTTTCTACATTTAACGTAAAACTATTTTTCCAAGCAAAATAGTAAACTTGTAATTGTAATTACTAAACAATAAGAAGCAAATAGTAATCAATTTATTAATACATGCAGTAAGTTACGTGTAAAAATATAATGTCAATGTTTTCATTTATAAAAAAGTAAAGAGTTTGTTTTCAGTATTAATTGTCGATTAAATGTTTGAATATTAGCGTAGCTTTCGTAAGGATATAGATTTTTCTAGGTTATTAATTTTATCTAACAAGATGGTTGTAAAAGGGAAAGAACTCGCTCTGTCACGAAAATAACCAATTATAAATAAATATATAATTTGATATATTCACTCGCATTCTTAAGTTTTTTTCGCATCAATTGTTGTTTTATCACCTTTTACAAAATAAAAAATATATATATTATATATATATATATATATATATATATGTGTGTGTGAATTTGTAATCGAAGCAAAGTTTATAAGTTAGATTTAAGAATTTATTGATTTTCGCTCGATAAAATGGTTTTTCTTTATTATACACAATTTGCATATCCGTCTTTTAATTTTCATTACTTTAAGTTAGATAGAAATTTTTTTTTTAAACTATTATGTTCAAGATAATAGTTTTTCTATGAGATTATTATCACTAAGTTTTATCTAAAATACTTTTAATTTATGTATCACTAAGTTTTATCTAAAATACTTTTAATTTATGAATTTATATATACATATATATATATATATATATATATATATATATATATACATATTAGTTTTTTATGTTTATTTCATAAAAAGCTACGAAAAACAATAATCTCTGTTTCTTTCATAAGAAAAAAATGGCTTAATCATATAAACAATTTTGTAATATGATTATATTACATGATATATTATGAGTTATATACTAGCAATGAGAATACAAGCAATGAGTTATATACTAATAACACCATTAAGCAAGCATGGTTCTGTGTACTTGCCATTAAATAAATCGTAATTATGCAATCTAATTTAAAATCGATTAAAAATATGTTATGCATACTATGTATATATATATATATATATATATATATGATTAAAAAAAATTTAGAAACCTACTAAAATTGCTTAGGTAATAGTTATTTTTCTAGCAATCACAATAGTTAAGGATCATTAGTGGCATTAATATCAGGACATTTTATATTAAATAAAAAATATTCAAATAGATTATCGTTTATGTCATTGATGCAATACATGCATTTTGAATTATTTTTGTACTTTTCAATTTGATCTTGCCTTTGTAATTTCTCGGATAATATAGCGGCAATGAGAACTTTCGATCACCCACAGGCGAACGACAAATAAAAATTGCGTCGTGAAATATTGACGTCGTACAACGGGTGGGAGAATGTGAAAGGAAAAATTTGTAGAAATGTAGGTACGAAACGAATAGTTACACGAGGCGTAGAATATTAGAAGAGTTTGATTTTTGACTGTCGATGAAGTATGTTGGAGTGAAAGGAAATAAAAGAAAAAAGGATTTACACGCGAACAATAATAATAACACTGAGACCATAGAATTCTCGAATTTTCGGCGTAAGCACAATTGCGTTACATGAATTAATTAGGTTGTTTCTTGTTTCTATTCGTACTTCCTTAGTAATTATATTATTTTTATGAAATCTTTACGAAACCTCTCGGTTATCCTCCTAACTAATACCCTCGCCTCTGCAAGCATTTGGAACGACCACTGCATTTTACGATTTGAGTGTCAGAAATTTGAAGGGCAACACGTGGAAAAGCGCTCTCGAGGCAAATATTTAGGTCCAAGGTACGATATTGCGTTACATTGACAATTAAAGGCGTCCATGTATCAAGCTACGCACAACGTATGATTGTAAAAATAATAATGGCAATTTTCATTTTAACAAATTTATTGATCGTGAACTACAGTTGTTCCAATGTTCTTAATTACAATTGAAAATAATTTAATGTTGATAAGGTATCTTAGATATTTTTAAAGGTTATCATTATTATTTTTGGTATTGTCGAAAGCTTATTTACATAAAAAAAAAAAAAAATAAATAAAAAATAAAAAATAGTTAGGCTCGGCAGAATATTATCAAAATGAATTTCATTTTGAGGAATAATGTAAATACGAGTTACAATTATGATATTCGATCTTGTTCACAAGAATAAAATTAATTATGTGTTCTTACTTTATTCTACATTTCCTGTTTTAGGTTCAACGCTTTCATTCACTATCGTAGTGGTTTCAATCTCCTTGTCATTCGTTACATTTTCCATTTTTACTTCCACTTTTGGTGAAATTTCAGCCTTCTCGTCGTTCGCCTCATTTTCCATTTTTGTTTTTACTTTCATATCCGGTTTATCCACTACTGTAGCGGCTTCGGTCTGCTCGTCATTCCCTTCATTTTCCGTTTTTAATTTTACTGGCTCATTGACCATTGCACCGGTTTCAGTCATCTTATCAATTTCATTATTTTCCGTTTTCGGTTCTATCGGTTCATCCACTTTCTCAGTGGTTTCAATCTTCTCGTTTTTCACTTCATTTTCCGATTTTGGTTTGACTGGTTCATCCATTATTCGAGTAATTTCAACATTCTCGTCTCTCGCTGCATTCGTCCTATAATTTTTTTCATCCTCTATTTTCGGTTCTACTGGCATATTAATTTGCTCGACAATTTCAGTTTGTGTATCATCTTTTTCATTCTTTATTTTCAAATCCGCTAGCTCCTCAACCTTAGCTTCCTCGCCCTCGTTATTCCCATCATCCTTTTTATTTTCCATTTTCTCTTTCTTAACCTCTTTAATTTCTGGAACAACTTCACTTAATTCAACATCTTTTTTATTTTCTGCTTGTGATTTTCCTAATTCTTCAATATTTTTCAATTGGCCATAATAATGTATATTTCAAATTATAATGAATCAATTAATTATATTTACGTTCGAAATAATAATCAAGTATAATATAATAAACAGTGAACCATACCACTTTCTTTCATTCCCTTCGAGCTATCCAAATGATTATTATCAGTTTTCATTTTTGTTTTATTTCGATATTTCCGATATGCTCTCTTTATACAAATATATAAATAAGTGTTAATGCATAAAACGTTGTAAGTTAAGAATTAACGAAAAATTAGAATTAAAATAATTAATTAACGTCGATCGTGTGAAATATGAATAAGTAATATGAAAAATATTGTAGAACCTTGTATACGTATTAACGAATTTCTTTATCAATTGTTGTTTTATACTTGTATGCGATACCTGGATTATATTTGCTGCTGATTGAGCTTTTGAAAAAGTGAGCCCAACTTCTTCGAACATCATGTCCAACCAAGCAGATACGTCCGTTTCTCCTTTAGAGACATTATACTTTGTATTGCTCTGCTGATCTATGAAAATTAATATTCATTATTTGAATTGGAAAATATATAAAAATAATTGTAGCTATATTAATTATAACTCTCTACTTTTATTTGAATGTATATTTTTCCTTGCATAATACTTCCGGTAAGCAGTCTAAAAATGTAAAAGCTAATGTAATTAACTATAAGAATTATATTATATTTTCATAATAAATTAATGAAATATTATTGCTTATACGTATTAAAATTTAATAGAACAAAACAAGCCGAATAATGCAATTATCAATTTTTTGTAAGAAAACAAGAGCATATTTTATTATCAGCCTGGCATTTCAATGAAATGAATTTAAAAAATGGGCAATTATGTCGAATATAACGATCATGATGCACTTAGATATCTATAGATCTAATAATTATTAGAATTTGGAAAAAGTAATTTTTACTCTTGATTTAGAGCAGATATTACGACCGAAGTCGTAATTTTATTATGCGTAAAGCACGTTCATTTTGAAATAATAACTTATTAATTATAATTCGTTTAAATAACTTGAGTTTAAAGCTTCAAATTTGCAATTCATAGACCACAATAATCTATAATATACTGTTGCAGTACATAATATTTATATATAAGTATATAAGAGTGTATTTTCACTGAAAAACAGGACAGTAAGAAAATGTTAGCGAAAGAGAAAAAATCATTAAGAAGCAGACAAATTGAAAATGTATTTTCTAGCGCACAAGCGTTAAATTACGTGAAATATATTTTTAAACGACTTTAATTGTAAAATTGTTGTACCAAGTACATATTAAAGTATCTGATTTTCAGTAAGATTATTTTGAAATAGCAATTTATAAGTGTCAGTAAAATAAAAATTATAAATTTATACTTGAATAGTTAAAGCAGCTTCATTAGCAATGGCTTCCGTAATACCAATTTTTAATAAAATATGCCTGGTTTTCAAGTCTGCCCTTTCCCATTGAATTTCACTTCTTCCTTCGGCAATTAATACTTGTTCATAATGTCTTCGGAATATAGCCTGAAAATATATTCGATCGAATGAATTTTCATAAAATGATTTTTAATTACAGTTTAATATTTACAATTACAAGTACAATTTAATATTTATTTTGTACAAATTATATTTAAATTTTTTCTTCAAGATATATATTTTGTCATTCGTTTGAATATATATATATATATGTGTGTGCGTGCGTGCGTGTGTGCGCGCGTGTTTGCGAGTGTGTATAATTTACATACTTGTATATTTTTTGCGACTAGTCGTGCCTGGTCGGAAGGAGCTCCAGTTTCTTTCAAAATTCGGCATATTGATATTTCACTTTTATCAAGTTCGTCGTCTACAGATAAAAACTTTCATATTATTTTTCGTTTAAATAACTTTAATAATATTTTTCTTTATTTTATTATACTTTTGATTACTGTAAATGACAATATTGAACTAAATACGCAATATGGAATATATAAAATTTAGTTTTTCCAAATTTTAACTAATTGTTAAACATTCTTGCATAATGAAATAATATTTTATATATATATATATATATATATAAATATATTTTTTTTTTAATTACAAAAATACGAAGATACGTCATTTTACTTAATTTTCAAAGTTCATCATTAAAAAAATCACTTTAAAATTTTATATTCTAACGTAACACTACAAAAATAAATTATTTCAGAACAAAACTTATAGAAATATCTTACTGTCACAGCCACATTTTTTTTTTGCAATGTCTACTACATATAAATACGTTCTGAATGCTTCCTAAAATATTTTAAACAAATTATTACTGCGCATCAGTATTAATTAAACGTATTTATGGAAAAGTTTTACTTTAACAACGTATCAGACATTCAAATTTATGTAACTGCTCCTAAATAATAACCATCGAAGCTGCTACTTTTTTTTTTTTTTTTTTTAAATCACCAATTTAATATAAATTAATTTTGTTTATATATATATATATATATATATATATCATTAAATTTCCTAGTATAGAGGTTAGCATCGATTTTTATAAATACTACATTGTCAAAGTAAAATTTTCTCTTCGATAATATTATAATAAATAATGCAATAATAGCTTGTAGTCGTGGAGCTGCCGCGGCAATTTTCTTTATGTCAAGACCACTAGAACTTAAGACTTCAACAATCTGTTCACTATTCAGCACAATGTCTCGTACAATTTTTACTGCAACTTTAAATAAGAAATTTTATCAATTTATTAATTTGTACAAAGTATGGATCATGTAAATTTTCTCATTTGTTATTCTCCAGTGTATATAGTAGAATTATCTTTATTATTTTAAGATTATATTCATTAAAAGTATTAAATCATTTATTGCCCTTCATTTTCCAATATCTTTCAAATACATTTTCGTATAAGAAGATTATTCATATTAGTATTTTTTAACTTTTCAATTCCGAGCGCAATTTCATTTAATATGAAAATAATTTGACAATAATTGTCGAATTATTAAAAAGAAAATTTTAAATTAAATTTTCCTTACTAATTTCTTTAGGCACAATAGAGCAAAATTAAGTTTTCTTATTTTAAATGCGCTCACAGGCTATCATTTGAAATTATTTGAACTTTTTTATTTAAGATTTGCTAAGGAAATTCTATATAATTAGTAATGCACTATTTTGATATAAAGTTTCTCGTATAAGAATATAAAAAGGAGAATTACTATATTAATTCTTAAGAAATATTAAGGTATTTACACTTAGTGTTTTCACGAGTAATCAAAAGGATATCCAAGTAATTTGCTACAAAAGAGTAAATATCATCTGGCTGTATTCGCAATACCTAGTAGAATAAATATTATTAATTTTTCATTCCGATTATTACGTTTAGTGGAGGCAGACTGCTGCTAGTATTATTGAATGAAATGTTGAATTCATTTTCAGTATTATTTTATGAAATGTCAGGAAAGTGATGAAACAAGCAGTATTGTCTCAATTAATTTTTTGGTCATCATAATATTTTATGCTAAGATTAATAGATAAAAATAACGTAACTGTAAAGATTAATCTATGCAGAATAATTTTATATATTGATCGGATTTTTATATTTATAATTTTTATAGGTTATAATTTTTTGAATAATAATTATATATTATATGACTATATTGCATCAAAAATATTATGCCCTATATAGTAATTTTCTTAAGGATTCTGCGAATGTATATTTTTCCGTTCAAAATTTCCACCTGCTCAATGAAAGACAAGTAAACGAGCAAATTAAGATATTATTTTTAAATTAACTAATAATAGGAAAAGCTGACCTCCATCGATATATCCGCGCAAAGTTCATGAAGTCCATCAGGAATTTTACACATATCCATTTTTCAAATGCCTTCTATTTAATTAAATAAAAAGTCTCATGAAATAAATTATATATATATATATACATATATATATGTATGTCTTAATACAAATCTACTAGAGAGTTATAAAACTGAACTTAGCTAATATATTCTTAAACAAGTTCTCAATAATTTATTAAGTATGCACATGTTTCATTGAGATCGTTAGTATTCTAGATGTCAGCAGCGCTGGATTTGTATGACGTAGGCTACGAGTGCTTGTCGTGTTCCACAAATCTATAGGTGCCATTTCATTTATTCCTCCAAACTGTTATTAACAATAATATTTATATTTTAAATTAAATATATATTTATGATTAATTCTCATTGTATAATGTAGTTTTTATGGATCACGTGTATATGACCGACTATTTTTCAATAAAACAAAAACAAAACAAAACAAAAAAATTTAATTACTTAAAAGGGACAACATTGATTGAAGCTTCCAAAGTCAGGTGTGTACATTCGGTATTATTTCTTATTTATTCAGGTATGTTTATTTGTAATTGCTCGTGAAATATATAGTAATAAGGGAACAAATTTTCATTAAACATAAAAATTTTTATTGTATTAGAAAATAGAATTTTATTCATTTTAAAATATCACTTAATCTCATCGATTATGTCCCCACGAATGAATTGTAATTTTTTAACGATTAAATTATAAAAAGTTAATTGAAGTTATGTCATTTCTGATACGGCATAGTTTGGAAATTAGTGAAAACTATACATATGCGCATTGAACACATAATGCTCATTACTTACTATAAAAGTCACTTAAATTCTGAAATCTTTAAAAATTGCAGCATTTTTAAATACATCAAGATAAATAAATAAATGAATGTATATATATATATATATATATATATATATATATATAATTATATATAATTATATATTAATGTTTATGTTACAATAATGTCATTATAAACTTTTCCAAACATCCAACAAACAGATTCAATCGATAAAATTAATCTTAAAAATAGCTTAAACAGTTATAATTCTAATAGACTTTTAGAAATATGAACTTAGTATGTAAATACATATTTTATCATAGAGAAAGTGAAAAATAGTTTAATTTGTTCTTTAACTGCATACTTTCTTCACTTTCTGAAGAATGTAAAATTTCTGATCTAGAATGTCCAACACTGATACTTTACAAATGATTTTCTCGATATTCTAGTTTTCGCGAAAGTAATTTTTTAATAAAATTCAATTATATATCAATTACTTTTATTATCTCGATATAAAAAGTGATAAAAATAAAATGATCCATGAAATAAATTTTCTTTGCTTAATACATTATGCTTGCAATGAACGATAAATTAAAAGTTAAATCCTTTGTATTTAAAACACAATGTATTATTTTTTATTTTTGATTTCTTCATTATTATAAAAAAAAAAAAAACTCCTGTTATTTAAAAATTTTTCGGACACGTTTTATATTAGCACGCTACATAAACTAAAAAACTTTTTGTATTATTGTTACTGATGACCTATCAAAATGAATATACTATTATAAATTAAAATTTTTTGGGCCTTTCTCTTTATTTATGTTGTTTGTTATTATAATATATGTTAATTTATTTATTTATTGTATCAATACATATTTGATTTACTCATTAAATATATTATGATTAAGTTATTCATATTATTATAAACTTTCATATAAATATTTTTATCAAGCAGGTTGTTTCTATCATTAACAACGTTATTATGATTTATATTAATAGAATTATTTAGATGAATATTACATAAAAGTCAAAGAGATTTAATATAATGCTTCTAATCAACGCACATAATTATAAATTTTTATGAAATAAAAGATGTTATGTTAACTTTTTTTTTTATTCAAATTGTCGACGATTTTCCCACCCAGTGGGTCGAGTAATTACATATTATCCGTTTAAAAAATTATATTTCTTAAGCTAATATGTACAATATCATACGTGTACCGTATTAATTACTTGCTCGAATGAAAATCTCGAAAAATTATATTAGATATATTACGTGTATTGCTATAGCATATTATAATTCAATATTTTACATATCTTATAAATAATTTTACAGAATTCATATATGTGTATCCAGTAGATGAAGCAATAAATAAATCATCGATTTAAAAATTTTTCTTCACAATCACGAATATAAATGAGTAAAACACGTACTTAATTATCATGGACTATATTTAATATTTCATAATTTCAAGATACTCGAATCTACATGCTGCACGAATAATGCAATGAATTAGCTAATCTATCAAGAACGAAATAAACTTTATTTATATGATTATTGTATATATTAACAATTGTAAGCACCTAATATGGTAAAAAAATATTTGGTTTAATTAACACGAAAAATTTACAGCATTCATTTATTGTAATCATTATTTTTTATATTTTATCTTATATTTAATAGTCTAAGTATTTGGGTTTTGTCTTGATATAATATACAAATAATATCTTACACGATTTAAATATTACGTAACGACTTACAATATTTTTTATACTTAAGGCAATAACAATATTATAAATTTAATGTAAAAATTTATCATTATACAATTGTTTTGATTCTATTTTATTTTACAACTTCTTTTATATAAAATATAAAAATTTGTTATAGCTAATAAGGAATATTAATAAATCAAACGTTTCGAAATAAGTGGAAATTATAGAATAAAACAGTTGTAAATATTTAAATAACAACATTAAAATTTGGTTTTATATCAAATTATTAAGAAATTAATTTTGTCATTGTTTTATTGACTAATTTAAATAGAGGAAAAGTCTATTATGGTTCTTAAGTGTATGCAGAGCAATTGAAACTCTGTACATATAATATGGTTAAAAATGGTTTTTAATTTTAATTTTTAAACTAATGGTTAAAAAAGCTTATTAACAAATTACATCACTGAATTTATATATATATATATATATATATATATATATATATATATTTTAGAAAGAACTTCAAACGAAATAAAATCAATACAGATATGAAAAGTTAATATAATGATTTTTTATATCATAATAAAATGTTAAGAAGAATTTCGTTTGTTTTTATTTATACATTTCTGCCATTATAGCAATTAAAAATTTACACATACACGTACTTTCTCATACGTATACGTATGAGAACCATATAATCTATACATATCTTATTTAACAAGTGAAAAAATAACTACGCACAACATACACGCGCGCGCGCACATATCTAACTTGAGAGATACATCTAATCAATATAAGATACTGCTTGTGTTGAATTAATGCAACATTTTTCTTGAAATCAATTTCAATATTTTATTTGAATATAAAATATTTTTCTGTGTAATTTTCGTAACATTAAATTTATGATTCATACTATTTCTTATAATTCTTAATAAGTAAAATTAAAATAAAATTTTGTAAAGGATTACCAGCCTTTTTCAAATTTGTAAGTATTTGTAAGAATGATTATTAATTATGAAATATAAATTCCTTTCGATGATATTTATTTTTATCATTTGAAGGATCTTATATGTTCTTATAATAGGCCGTAGAAAAGTTATAAAATCTCACTCGCAAAGTAATTTCATTGGGAAAAGTTTTGGATAAATAATTGCTGTCGATTGCTTTCAACAATTTCATTGGCCATTACATTTATCGACTACATTAATTGTATAATTAGACTTAACCGATTGAATAATATTTATTTAAATATTCGTCTCAATGCCAAACTAAATAATTTCATTGTTTAAACTGTAATAATATCGTTTATCGATTTTAATCTATTTTTATTCATCTATTTTATCGCTATTATTTTATATAATTTGCCAAAATATTAGATTTGCCAATCTTTCAGATATTGCGCTTGAATCAATTTTAATAATGAATACTTGAATAATACCAAGAATTAAGATATTATTTAATAATAAAATATGATATAAATTAATTATATTTGATCAAATACTCGATTGTTCAACAGACCCAAATTTTTTTTTTTTTTTTTTTTTTTTTTTTTTTTTTATTATCTTCAATGAGTTTTATGCGACTTACGAAGGAAAAATCATTTTCAATAGTCATCAATTCGCGTTTGTCCAGTAGTTCGTTCTAATTTCCCAAACAGTCGTAGAACGATCCTTACAATAAATATTCAAATTTGCCTTTCATACCACCATCGTAACATTCAACAAATAATATAAATGGCCCAATAAGCGTTTAATTACGTTGAAAATGTAATGTAAAAGTAGTCGAGGAAAACAACAGTAAGTCGCCACGACGAGCCACCTAACTTTACGTCTTTATGTTATATCATTTCGAAGCTCATCGATAAGTCAAATGCACAAGAGTTAAAAGTAAGATAGGAAAGGGGCGGGAACGGATATGCACGTGAATATTGTGAAGCAAAAACAATCATCGCTACGAGTATCATGAATTACAAGCTGAGCTTCAGTTATGCGAATGCAATATACCAGCATTGAATGTAAAAGAATTTCATTCCGTCGTGAACTAACGATATGTTGATTTCGCGAATTAAGAATATACCCGAGAGTTTAATAGAATATAAATGCAATTATTTTTAAACCTTGGTATTTAATGTGTATCACGCTTGTTAATATAGTATCGGTTATAGTTGATCCGTTGTAAATATTTGAATGTCAAGCTAGTAAATTTTATATGCCTTACTGAATTATTGGCAAATGCCTCGTACTCGCGATGTTGCTAATAATGCGCAATAATGGCCATTAAAATGACGTCTTAAAATGAAATGGAACTGCCGTAGTATTCTTAGATCAAGAGTTACTTAGACTGCGCATGCGACTTTAAACATGTTGCCAACTTAATGTATATAATGATAAGCATCACGGACTTTTGATAATACTTTATTATTAAATTATTGCACTTTTTCTGCCTCCTCTTCTACTCTCTACCAAATCAATACAATTAGTTTGATTTTTGCGAAACTTTCTTGTTTTTCATCATTAATGGCGAGATGAAACATTCAATCCGATAAAATTATTCAGTGCAAA